CGGCAAAACACAGCCTTTTAGAACACGCGACGTAAATTTGATGAAACCACTCGCGAGTTATTCCAATCTAACTAAACAATGTCCAAAGTCAAATGTACTACGTTTATTTTTGGGATTAGTTTACAAACAGGCAGAACGACGCTTAATGCAGACCCCAAACCCCGCCTGTGCATCCTTCTTTCTGCAGCGTAAGTACTTGACTATTTAGGCTCTGCGTCGAGTCCGCGAGTACTTCCAGGAGCTCTATCTCCTCCAACTGTCAATGCAGTCCCTGGTCTCTGTGCCACCGTCTCTAGAAGGCCACGGAAACGATCCGGAACTCGCGGCAGCATTCGCGGAGGCAATTAACGACCCCGAGATCGACTACCTGCTTCAGAATCCCGACAACAGACCGGGCAGTCTGTCCTTGGCCGGAGGCGACGGCCAACTGGTCCCGAGGAAGCACTCAATCTCCTCCATGGCGCTGCCTGCCATCACCGCCGTCACCGGGCTTCTAGACGTCCGCTGTGTCGGTTGTGAGGGTCTGCTCGAAGTCTTCCCCGCTGACCTCTTCTGCCCCGGAGGGGGAGGACCCAGGTCGCGCCCAAAGCCTCGCCTTATTGACTCTCCAGCCGAGTTTTCAGCTAGGTGTGAGGACAGGCCGAGTAAGTTGACGCCCTCTGCATTCTGCTTAGTCCCTTTCTTTGTGTGTTGACAGCCCCCTTTAGAGGCGGATTGCCTCGGTTACCGTGGGTCCGCTCTCTCTCTCTCTCATAAATCAAATTTACGATATTTTTTCTCCCTAAACTTAAAAACTACCTCTATTGGTCGGGACCATTGCCTTTCGTGCTATCCTCTACGCGCAATGACCTTTTCAGCTAATTGCCCATCTTCGACTTTTTTTGCCAAGATCGCATCGCAATATGGGCAATCATGAACCCTCTGCTCTTAACTAATTCTCTTCTTACCAATATTTAGTTAAGACCCTTCGTACCCACGACCTCTTGCTTCTTCTAAGTATGCTTCACAAGGCCTAGTCTTTTTTAAAAAAAAACATTTTGGATAATCTGGCCGTTGGCGTTACCTATTGCAGAATTTCGTCGTTAGTTTCCTTGTGGTTTAGCTGTTGGTCTACACAAATTCACCGCCAACTCACTCTACCACTGTAGCTCATCGATCAAATTGCCTAGCCTAATGTTGATGCTAATGTTCTCACATGCACACATACAAACCTACGCCGCTGCTTACACCAAATCTGTGTGTGCTGTGTTTATGGTACCTTGCTATTTCTCGCAGACCGTTCTAATTTAGCATCGCCTGAAATGACGCCTCTTGTTGAGTTACTTGAATATGGTTTGCATTTTTAGTGTCTTCAATATCAACTGGCTCATTAGTGCCGGGTGTTAAGCTTCTGCAGTAATCCATCGCCCTGTTCAATCTGAACTAATGCTGCTGGTATTTAATGAATTATGTAGAAATCAGTCATTTTGGATCTGTCGGGGGTCGTATCACCGTATTCGACTTGATCAACGCTCTCTTTATGCTCTATTTGTTAATTCAAGTTATGTGATTGCATTGTGACATCGTAAACGGGTGTTCTAAATTCGCTCATAAAATACCCTTGGTAATGTGTGGTCCTCGTTCCAAATCATGGTGTATTCTTTAGTCCTTTTTAGTGCAAAACGGCATGTGCGCAAATGCGCATTTTTATCCCCTGGACAAGCGACATTTACTCTGTCCGTATTTTTTTTTAATCAATGGACGTGTCGTCCAAACTGTGCGTTAAAAAATCGTCCCAGCTGGTTTCCTAGACAGTTGGATTAAATCCGCCTTCGTTTACTTGAAGGTGAGCTTTGCCAGTCTACGCAAGTCGGACTTTTCCATCTATTTCGAGGCGTTATTAGCCTTTCCGTCTCCTCGGATGCAAATTTTGTCAGGCTCATAATCGACCTTGAAATATCACATTATATCACACGTTCTTACATTCGCTTTCTCGTGGATAGCGCCAGTAATGAAGTACCCCTAACTCTGAATTCAAAATTACTGTTTTAGTGGTCTTCCAATCTGCTCCACTTATCGATTTTCCGGTGTTTCAAAATTAATACTGGTACTAAGGCCTGCTTTGGAACCAAACATTGCCTGTAAGATTAAGGTCTTGGCGATTGTTATTTGTTCATCTCAAATAACTCGGCCTGTGTTTGTAAGAACCTGTCCAGCAAGCAGTGCACCAGCCCTACCTCTTTTGTCAGCTTTCTAAAACACAGTTTTGCTTGTCTGGTTGCTACTTGCAGAGGCCTGATGCTCATGTTGGCAGATTTGGACAAAAAACGGGTCTGAATCGCCCTGTGCTGGAGTGTTTTCACAAGACACCTTGCTGCAACACAACGGGTGTGCAAAATTCGTGCGCTGTTTCCACTGCGCTACCAAGTTAGCACCATCCTGATTGTTAAATCCGATCCAAATGCGTTTTCGTGCACAGGGGATGCCTTTTTCTATGTCAGTGTTGGGTTGAAAAGTTGTTCTTGCGAATAAAAACACAAGCGAGGGTCTCCTCGTGATTCAAATTTATTACTTCCTTCCTAATTTGCTGCGCCGTTAAAATCACGATGCGCCTAACGTGCCTTCACAATGCCTGGGCTTTTACTTGGCAGAATTCCGTTTCAATATTGCAAGTATCTTTTGTGTGTGTGTGTGTGTGCGAAATTCGCGATTTACTTACTAATAGAGGTGTTTATTTTGAGGTCTTCGAAACAAGTAGACCAACACAAAAGCCTTGCTTAGCACAACGAAGTCAGATAGTCGTTTGTGCTGTCAGCTAGGTGTTATCGGCCGTGGGGCAAGTATGTTAATTACAATAAAAGCACCTTATTCGAATGTTGCCTGTTGTAGTAACTTGGTCAAGGCGTAGATTGCCAAATTTGATGCGGCTTGTCACCTTGTGCGCCTTTAACCGTCCCCTACTTGACAGCGCGAGATTCTTTAGTTGCTTTTAATTTTATTCATTTGGTGTAACCGATGTTCTGTTTCTGTTCACGAACAAATCGATCATTGGTTGGTTCCAATGCACACGATTATTGCGAAAATCTTTACCCTGACGCATAATTACCGGACATTTCGCTGAACTTTTAGGAATCGCCAAGTATCCTGTTAGTTTACACTTCTGTGGCTAATAACTTCAAGTTCCCGTTTGCAAAAAAAAACAACGTTTAGTACTACATGTGACCTGCCACTTACTCCAGTTCTGACATCTAAGGTCAGCCCGAAGGAGGTCGAATTGCTTGCTTGTTAAAAGTAAATAGTTGATCCCAAAAGTAAATCGCCAGGTTTTTTCGCTCTCGTAACTTAATAGCAAATAAGGTGTGGATGCGTGTGTCACGAAACACAAATCCCCAGGTTACCAAGGTGAAAAAAACGCATGGCTCAAAAAGGCGCTGCGTTCCACCGCGGTAGTGTCAGGTGTCGTTTGGACTAGCCTGGAGATGCTTACGTGCATCCAGCATCCATCAAAGACTTCCGACATGGTGTGTTTTGAGGTTCTCTGAACTTTAGATCGTGCGCGTTTGTCGGGCTTAAATTCCCACCATAACACCCATCAATTTTGTCATCGCCATTTCATCATCATTTCAAAGTTCAACTTGTAAGGTGCGATGCCTGTATGGGCTGTGAATTTGCGGGCTCTTTGTGCTTGACAATGCTCCATCAGTCACGTTGTCGTCTGGCACATTAGAATGAAGAGGTCGTTGACATTCTCACGCAGACGGTCGTACCAGTGAACTGTGCGTTTTTTCCCAGGCTCCAATGTAAAGAAGTGCACTGATTAATTTTTCTAGGGACACCTGGTAGGAAATCACACACCCACGCACGCACGCGCACATTTGACTCCTGTCAGACATGATCATCCCGTATTTCCTGGTTCTGAAATGCTGTGTTTCAGTCTTGACTTCTTTCGCCAAAGTGCTTGATCATTGGTGGGTGCAAGCTGGGTCTTGTTTAGGCTGTGGCATTTCCAGAAAGCTCTCTGCCAGCTGCTACTGTTTATACTTCTTTTGGCACATGCATAGCGTGTTTACTTCGTAAGTGGATGTCAGTAGGAGGAGAGTACGGGGTGTTTTAGCGTAGTTCGCGCAGACATGCCAGTCTCCATGATTGACAGGGGTTGATGCAGCGGGCATAATGGGCCATTAAATGGTGAGCCAAATTCTTACCTGTCAGATATACTGTAAAGCCATAGTTAGCACTATGTGCAGGTTCTAAAAATGCCATTTTGAGCTCTTGCCATCTTCGCTCTAATTCCATCGTCTTGTTTGTCGGTTAGGCACCTATGATCCGAGCCACGCTCTAGGTGAGCTTTGATCTCTCAGGTGACGTGCTTAGTTTCTCGTAAACTGACCGTAATGCTTCGTGTTCCCTTCCAGTATCAACAAAAACCCCCATGAAGTCCTACCTCTGGATCACTTCAGGTGTAACGTCGTGAGGCGAATTTAAAGCTGTCATTATTTGACACGTACTTTTCACCTGGGGCACTTTTTCCTCGTACTCCCATTTCGCTTAACACCACACGATGTGTCCCATTACGCGTTAATTACCAAAATGTTGTGAATTTGTGTCGCCACATTCCTCATTTAATGAGATTCGCTCTGTATTGGGGAATGGGGAAAATAGTAGCACACCGTTGTGCCTACCTTTATGCTTTTTTTTCAAACCGTTTGGTGATTTGAGAATACTCAAACCTAATGCTGACGTATTTCCGCACTTTACAGTGGAAGTCAGCTGCTGTTTGAAGGTGGATAACAACGACAAGAAATGGCAGTCACCCTGGCGTTCGCCTTCTTCCAACTGCTGGGACAGTGAATGCTCTATGAAGGTCTCCCAGGCCCGCGAACTGTGGATCCAGGTCTTTTGGAAGCGCGTCTATCCAATCAGCGGCAGCGGCGTGTCGTCAACGGGTGGCACTCTCAGCGGGGGGTCTTTGAAATCCGGCGATGGCAGTTGTGCCGGAGGAAACAACAGCAAGAGTTCCGAGGAGTCGGACTGGGTCCTTGCAGCCGTTCAGTACGTCCAAGCACTTGATCCATGCGCGATGTTGACGTTCTCGTCCTATTTTGTGGAGTTTGGCGTTCATTCGTGCTAAAGATGGTGGTGGTTGTGGTGACACGATATTGAGTGTACGGATTTATTTTGGTAGGAAGGCAATAATCTATTTGGGTTGTTGATAACTCGCATCAACGTATACACACCCTTTTTCCACTCTGTTTTTAGTTTTAAGTCAGATAATAAATGGCAGCGAGAGGCGGATCACATGTAGATTTGTTAGACACAAAAATACCGCGAATAACAAGCCGAATAATCACATGAAAAAAGTCGTGCCATGCACTAGAATCCCGCACAAAGTCATTTGATTGATCCAATGAAATGTTCCCGATAATGTCATTTATTGATTGGTAACAACCAATGAGGGCCATCCAAACCCGCATGCTGGTTGTTCTGGCAAAGGAAAGGTCTACTGATAGCCTTTCCGACGTGTGCGTACCCTTCAACGCAGATCATCGTCACCATCATTGTCACATTGCTTGAATGATGTTCCCACTCGCTCTCGCGCTTGCAATAGACTTGTACAGACATGTTTCTGCTTGGTAGGTTCGTTCGCCTGCAGGACTTGCTTGACAGCAAGCCCCGCGTGCGTCTTCCAATGCTGCCCCAGGGCTACGTCCATCTGCAGCTTACCTTCACCGACCCACTGATGCAGGCACCGCGCGGCCTGAAGCGACAGCGGCGTATTTCACGACACAAGGGTACGTTAAACTGAAACCATGGTCACAGGACTCCGCACCCACCCCTCTCCCCCCTCCCAGACAAGTAATGCTAACTCACAACAATGTAGTCTTCATTCTCGGCTCTCATTTAAAAATGTGTACTTTAGGATGATAGTTGGAATGATGCACGATTTTTGCCCAAGTGGATTTTGTAGCGTAGAATCTGATAGATTGAAACTAGCAGATGCTTTTTACAGTTTTTTTTTCAAAACAATCGAACAGGTAGCAGTTAATATTGTTCATTTTTTGTCAAAACATTGTCAATTCGTTCATTCGAGGAGTCATTTTAAGTTTAATGGGGAAAAAACAAGTTTTTTTGTATCACCTGTCGGATCGATGTCACCACGATTGAAAAACCGTACCACCATTGGCCAATTTTTTCAGCAAACACCTTGTGGCCTCATTGGAAAGTCGTGCACATTTCCAATTCTTGAAATCACCGAAGCTCGCGCTGCCGTCTCAATCGACCCTGTGGTTTTACCGAACTGTTCAAAATCATTGATTTTTTACCTTGAACACGATCCGATTCTAGTCTTTGTTTAAGTTAGTGTGTTTCTGTTGTGCATTTGAATCCACTTTTGCAGTGTCCGAGAAAGCTGCAGGTAATGATTTCTTGCTCCATCATGGCACAGTTTCTACCTACTTGCTAGGTGTTTGCACTCCGTCGGCTTTCCGTGTGATTTTTTGGGGTTCAGCAGCGTTCCTGTGCGGTTTCACACCTTAATTGAAGCAAGAATTTGCCAGCCATTAGCTGTAACTACTGTATAGTTGAAGTTAAAAACCTCTAATGGAGTTTGTAGTTTACAGTAATCGGAGTTGCTTGCCCATGCTAGAGACGATACCGTCCCATGACTGTTTCGACCTAGTGTTCGGAGTCTTTAAATGTCACCGTCGACTGCCTCTTAGTGTCGCAACAGGAGGACTGACTGGCAGGCGTGGCAACCAAAACCATCTTTGGATATATTTTTTGGGAACCACTATGCGTCATTTTGGATTACGCCCAGTACTATATACTTGACACACTCGGGTGATATTTCTCACTTGGCGGCTTCTATTTGCTTGATGCAACTCTCGCCTTTGGGCCTCAGGTGACCTTCCTTTGCGCTGAACCCCATCTCTTGTGAGTTGGTTTGAAATCGGCAGTGTGTTTTAAGGCCTACATTGTTCTGCAATCTCCGGGACTTTGAATATGCTAAATCACTTAACTCCAAGGCGTGTTTTGTTCCAAAATCATTTCCTGATAGACGCGCAAGACGCTTACTCCTGCCTCACGGTAGTTGCTTTCGCCGAAAAAAGTCGCATCGCTGCATGCGCTAATCACCACCATGAAAGAAACTTGTCCCGACTTGAACGTGTGCGTAGATTGCTCTTGTGTGCGTGTGTGTGTGTGTCCGAAGTGTGTAGATGCCTTCCTCCAATCATGGCGGTTGCAGAAAAGCCTGGTTTCGCTTTGTGGTGCTCTTCAGTGTTGTCTGGCATCGTGTTTTTTTGTATTTTGTATGCACCGAAGGCATCAACTGTTAAGGTCACGCACTCTGCCATCACTCTTTTTTTCCTCAGAAAACTCACTGTTGCACTTAACCGGGCTGATCTGATGTGCCTGTGGTAAACACATGCCTCGCCTCAGAGCTGAAAATGCGGCTAAAGCTGCCATAATCAACACACGCAAACCGCAATCCTTTTCGCATTTCAACTCATCTCATTAAAATCGCATCTACCCTGTTCCCCGTGCCTTCTTGAAACCAATTCAAACAAGATTCGATCCTTCCACAGAAATCGATATTCGATATTCAAACTAGCTTCTCCTAGTGCCTAATGGAAAGGTTTTTCTAAGACCTAGGCTGTAGTTATGTCAGCGGTAGTTTGTGTTTTTGCCGTGGATTTGTTGTCTACAGCAATTTATCAAAACTAGTTGTAAGTCCACACATCATCAAACTGCAATAATTAGATCATCCCTCCGCCTCTTCCCCTCATTGACGTCAGTACGCCGACCACGTGCATAGCGTGTCCGCTTAGAAGTGCTTGCACACTGTCCTTCGGTGTTTTTATTCTTGATGTCTCTGTTTCACTTCAGCCCCCGATATGCCTCAAACCCTCGGCGTGCATTCTGGCCTGCGACAGCTGCTAAAGCTAAGCCTTAAGCACTCGACCACGGAGCCTCAGGTTATCCTCGGCCCTGTTAGCCTTTTTGTTGTTCCCTTGTTCCTGTTCCAGTCCCCCTCTTTGTCTCTTTTTTAATCACTTAACACAAGTGCCACTTCGTCTAGATTAGATTTCATCGGAGCCAAAATCGGCTAGGTCGGAGTCTTCCGTCCAGCGGTGGCTACGGACGCACATCTCCAGGCTCCTTTGTAGTAGGCCTTGTTGTCGACTGTTTTTTGGTCGTTTTTTGTTGTTTTTTTTTACAGTGTGTATTTCGTTTGCGGTCACGATTCATTTGATGAGACTTGTCGTTTTCGGAGTTTGTGCAATTTGGGTGCTAAAACCCATCGGATTCTTGGAACGTGTGTGTGTTCTTACGAAAGTGGATTGGGTTGACCTAAGCGGATTTACACCGTGCTGCTTACATGCCTTGTGTCATTGGTTCATCAGGTCGAAATCTTCCCCGATTCACCGAGTCCAACCTCACCGTCCAACAATGGGTCCGCACTCACTTTGGCCGTTCGTCGACGCCCCAGACGACCTCCACGACGCCAGTGGCGTCCACTGGATCCGTAGGCACCACAATCGAGATGAACGGCGCTCCTGCGCGCGGTCACATCGCCAATGCTGAGAGGGAGGGTCGCTATACCAAAGCCAACTCTCCCATTTGTGATAACCGTTCACGCAACAGGCTGTCTACCCTCCCCAGTACTTCTCAAGTGAGTCTACTATCTCTCACCACTTTCCTTTATGTGTGATTTTATTTCGCATTTCTGAACTCCGTTTCTAGCCAACCCAATTATTGCCGCAAACTCCAGGACTTTATGCGTGCCCTTCGATGGTCTTTTTTGCGCAGAGTTAGTGACTTCACCACTCGAGCATTTCAATTTCTGTGTAGTGGGTTGAGAGTGTCATCGAACGCAGCTACTTGCCCGCCTGGGGATATGTGCCGACCTGCCAAAAACATGCGGGGCTTGCTTGTAACGTAAGACAGGTCTGCCAGTAGTAATCGTGTGAATCACCCAATGGCGATTGCACGGGCAAGAGTGTCGCGACTGAGTCACTCGAAATCACCAAGCGGCGCACCACACTGGGTGTCGCAACGGTGGAATTTCCCTCCTGGAAAATTTGGCCCCGATGTCTCGATGTTTCGTTAGGGTTTTAATTAGCTTCTACCATCAATGTCAACTGGCAGGCTTTGATGACTAAGCGTCACATTCAACACCATTAAGTGTCTTATCTTCTTTCGTCAGCATTGTGAAGCTTGACTGATTAACAAAGAGGGGAAATGATTTCACACTACTTTGACGCATATAACCGCACACCCACGTGCATAGTAGGTGGCGTTTTATGTATGCATGCCTTGACGATTAATGCGCTGGTGAATAGTAATGAGTTTTGTGTGAGGACCAATCAAGTTAGTGTGGATCATGCATGCCCTTGTATGGCAACTTGTTGATTCTAATCGCGAGGCACAAGTTCCTGCGTTAACCACGTGTCAGTTGCACACACATACACATTTGTAATTTCGAGTGGTTGCGTTGCCATCAAAAGTCTAAAAGTCGCGGTTCACGATTGAATGATCGTGTTTTTTTTCGCGTACACTCGACACACCGGGAATGTAAAGCCCGTGTTCGTCACTCACTGCACCAATGTGCCACCCCATTTTTAATCTGTTGCCTAATTTTTGCCGAATGAAATGCGTTTACTAACGGCGTTTTCCTTACTTCCACCTTCCCCCCCAACCCCTCATTTCCCGCAGTCAGCCACGTCTTCGTGGATTCGTCGGTCCTTTATGGGTCTTAGTAAGAGCCATGCAAAAAAACAAGTACGTGCATTCTTTCTCACCCTTGCCTGTCCCCCCTTCTTATCCTCATGCACATAATCAACTAGCGTACACCTACACGCACACAGGCAAGATTCCTCTTGCTCTCTCCACTCTGCCTCCTTTTCTTCGATTAACAGAATGTGTTTGTGCTAATTCTGGCGAGAGCATCGTCAAGTCAGAGTGGAATTCTAAGTTGGCTAATCTGCCCCAAACGGTCACATTCACCTGAAGGGCAAGCGCACACACATTGGTTGCTACTTCGGATCTACTCCAAGCAAGGCAAACCTTGAAGATGGTGCCTATAAAGGCTGTTCCGTTGCATGGCTTCCTCCGAAAATGAAGTAAAAACCGACACTGTAAACATTGGAAATGCGTAGGACTTGAGTTCTCATGTTGTACACATATCCCAGTCGTTGTGGCACACCGGTGGTTTTAATTTGGTGTGAATAATCGCCTCGGAGTTAAGGTGGTTGCATCAAGACGAAGATGGTGCCTGCAAATGAACGAGGCGTAGGACCGATCTGATGCACAAATTGTGAGAACCCCTTCACAGCACTCCACGTCAGTCCGAGGCAGACGCGGTGGAGGAAGGTGGAACAGAATGCGCAC